GGGCCGGCCTTCAGTTTAGGGTTTATAGGGTTTAGGGTTTAGGGATTTTGGGTTTGGGGTCTCCAACTCGGACAAGGCAGGCGAGGATTCATAGGTGCAGAAGTCGGCGTGACACAATGAGTTGGTAATGCCAGGAATGCGGTTTAGGGTTTAGGGTTTAGCGTCTCAGAAAGGGGGGGAAGGCGGGGAGGAGAAAGCAGGAATCCAACAGATACACTCAGGCAGCGATTGGCATCCTTGCCGGCGTGCTTTGGCGGTGTCACCATACAAGTGCTGTTCCGGAGATTCCGCTTTCTGCTCCCCAAACCCTGATCAAAAAAAGAGCCCTGACACGCTAAACCCTAAAAAAAGGGAACCCAAATCCTATGAGCACCCCAGGACGTATTCCCCAAATTGCCTAAACTGAACAACCCCTAGAAAAAGCCCTAATTCCCCGAAGACAAGCTCTCCATGTTTTACTTACTTGTCCTGTATCTCAGGGGAAATAAAGGTTAACATTTGAGGTTATGTAGGGATGAGAATACGCCAAAAACCCGCCCTACCCTAAACCCTCTAAACCCTGGTTTACCTCCGGGGCACGGGGCAGGTGGTGCCAGTTGTTGGCTGGAGCCGCGGCGCATAAGATTTTTCGGTCGAGGCCTTGCGTCGGAGCCGGGGGTTTTAGAATTGAGGTAGGATTCAGGATTGAGGGTTTATAGGATTGAGGGTTTAGGAAGAATCAGAGCCTAGGTTGAGGATGTAGGTTTAGGGTCGAGGGTTCCGGCTTATGGATATTCAGGATTTGTAACGTCTAACTGTTGATGAAGGACGGCTTGGGGTTGAGGATTTGTTTTTGCTGTTCCTGGATTTGGGCCATTAAGCAGTTGTGCAATTCACCATCGTTGCGAGGGCAGAAACTTGCTGCAAGGGTTGTAGGTTGCATTACTCTGTGACATACACCCGAAGCACCCAAAGCAGGAGTCTCTAGGTGACAGCCTTGTCCTTTTTGAAATAATAGACAGAGCCCTATTGCTATATTCCATAATGGGGACCCCTTAAAGGAGGTCTACTACCGATCTTTCTATTTTGGGGGGAACCCATGAATTTCAGAATAAGGACAAGGGTGGGTGCAGATGCTCTTGGGACGGATTCAGCTTCGCACAAAAAGAGCCATGAAACCAGCATAGGGCACCCCACCAGAAACACAAGGCTTAGAATAGCCCCCACCTTAACCCACCAAAACCTACTTTTTGTAGGTTCTTATTATAAACCCTAATATGGAATTTATTGGGACCCTACAAAAAATAGGTTTTGGTAGGTTAAGGCAGACCTTGCATTCGATGGCCCTTCTGTCAAAAAGCCTTATCAACTCTCGTCCTTATAATTAGAGTTTCACACGCACGGAAATTGAGCCGAAGCTCTGACTTGATCCTTCGGCACCCGGCTAATGAAGCTATAGAGAACCCAACGTATAATGTGTACGCCGTTTCGGGCATTTTCAGGGTCTTGAGTTCAGTGTTTAGTGTTTAGGGGTCTTGGGTTTGAGAAACGCTTTCTCTATGGGCTGTGCGGATTAAACACAAACGCCAACGAATCAAGCTCCTGTGGATGCCATCACTTCCAGGTTGGCCTAGAACATGTAATAGCTTTAACAGTTAGAATAGGGCCTTGGAAAGTGTACTATGATGTCGCTGTACTTTTAATAAGTATAGGACAGCGTTTTGGAATATGTGATATGATTTCGACGTACTGAAACTCATTATAGACCGTAACCCTAAGCCCTGAACGAACTATGCAGGGACAACTACAACCTTACCCAGCTCTGGGTTCCTCCTTATTTCCAGCCGGTGGCACCCTCCACTCACTAAGCTAAGAAGCTAGGGCTTGGCATTTCGGGTCTATGATTAAGGTAGCTTGGGAAAGAGAACCGCGACCATAAGAACTTGATATGGGGGTTTCCGAAAATAGGGGACCCTATTTTTGTACCCCAAATAGTAGGATGCTTATTATAAGGACCCCCAAATTTGGTACCCCTCATCTTCGGAAACTCCCATATGTGAATTCAAGCAGAACCCTGCAACGGCCACAAAGGCTCCGGCTGTGTCGCTGGAGCTGACAAGGCTTGCATCACCACTTGTGCTGATACGCCTTGCCTGGGTGCAGGGTTTCAGTAGCCCTCAACTTTAGGGGTTTAGGGTTTAGGGTTCAGGGTTCAGGTTAAGCCTACTGGAGTCTGCATACTCACTATTCAGGACCCGAGGTCATCGTTTACAGGTGCGTTGGAAGATCCCCTCTTTCTTCCGAGACTATATCCCTGTGGCAAACACACTTACTCCTGCACCGTGACCGCTAAACCCTAAAGCCCAATCCTTAATCTGTCCGGAGGCCCAGGATGCATCGGTCGTGAAGTTTTGGGCTTGAGAGTTTTAGGCTGTCTGCTTGGGTATAAAAGTAGTGTTTTATTTTGCGGTTGGCTGTTTGGCGTGAATGTTCGTGGGTTTTAAGGTTAAGGGTCATTTTCTGTTCTAGCGTAGTAGGATTTGGGGTGTCGAGCAGACGACTAGTTGTGATGTAAAGTGAATGAAACTTGACAGGAGTGTGGACGCCTCCAAACGGCACTGATTTATGATTGTGTTGGGGTGCCAAGTCCTTTAATCGAAATAATGAACCCTATAAGGAATATAATGGTGAACTATTCCCAATGTTAGAAGCCCCCGAACGAGAGTTGCTGGGTCCAGGGCTTCACATGGTCTCAGTGCTGCTGGTAGACGAACTATTCAGGGTTCAGGGGGCTGAATGAACAAGGTTCCACCAGGATTGAACGAACAGGCCATGCCTACCTTTGCTGTGCTATCCACCAAGGGCTTGACAGCTTCATGCGGGTTCAATGTAAGTAGTCCATGCTTTCCATAGACTGGCGGAATGCCATATCAGTGCAGTAACAATTCGGTCAGGGTTGTGGGCATACTGTTGCATAGCAACAATACGGAACCCTGAGAAATAGTGTTAGAATAGTTGTGAACTGTTCTATACTTTTCTATACAAGTGTTAATCTGACTTGTCCAGTATCCAGGGGAACTTATGATTCAGCTATGGGGTTATGTAAGGAATATAATACCAAGAAAGGTAAACGATACCTACTCTACTAGGTAACGCAGAAGAGCCTTTTACTTGCGTCCAATGGGACACCGGCCGGTCCATTGGCGAAAGTGAAGCGGAACGGGTCAGGACTGCGCATATTGAGCTTTAGGGTTCAGGATTTAGGAGTTAAGGGATTTTCGGGTTGAGGAGTTTAGGGTTTAGGACTGTGGGTAGGGCCCGACCTGAATCACTGCAGGGTTTTGACGAGCAGAAGAGAGATCGGGGCTTCACACCCCTGCCTGCTGAGAAGAACATGTTGACCGGTGTCCACGGTCGTTTCCTCCCTTGACTTTAAGGGGATTACAAGTAGCTTTCATCGTCGTCGGAATTTTGCAATCTCCGATGGAGTCCAGCCTCCGTGGTCCTCCAGCGCTCTGCCCACTCTCCCTCAGAGTTCCGCCAGTTCTGCGCTTCTGCCTGGCGTTCCTCAGGATTTTCTGTCGCCTCCTTCAGCTTTCTGACCAAGCCGTCTGTTCTCTCATTGCGGTCATTGGAGGGGGTTCCGGCCGTACGCCAGTTCTCCTCTGCCCTTTGTACCCAGTGGCCTTTGAAGCCGTTCCAAGTGCTTCCGTTGGCAATGATGCACTGGTGTGTTTGTGATTGTGTGTGGCTCTGTGTGTCTCTGTGTGTACTGGCATTGGCGGCGGGCCGTGTAGGGGCTCCAGAATGTACCACGGGCTCGTGGTCACTCCCAGATATCCCTGACGAAGGCAGAAGAGCTTTGGGAGGCCGCCGAAAAAAACTATTTCTCAGAACCCGGCAGACGGACTTGCCCCACCATTTCCCAGAGTCTTAACCTGAAAGGCGAAAATCCCAAACCTTACAAGCGCCAATGCCAGAAACCCAACCACCGAGCCTCTTCACTCGAAACTTTGCGTACCGAAAGCTATGGCGGTCCACCAAGACAACAGTCCACCTCAAATCTGTGTAGATCTGGTACCCTCTTGTCGTCAGGAGCCTAAGTTGCCGAAATGCCACGTTCCTGGCCCAAAGCCTTATCCTTGATCAAGCCCTCCCTCCGGGACCCGTGTGTACACGGCAAGCTGCTGCAAAGGCAACTCGTTGGGACTTCGCCCCCTGCGTGGAGTTGTTGGGGCTGAGAGGGGTCTTAAATTGGTTTGAGATGTTCGTTAAATCCTAAACCCTAACCCAAAGGGTCCAAGTTGTAGTATAGTATATACTTTGGGGTTCCAAATACTTACAAGGTAGCTACCATATTAGTACTTGGACCCTTTGGGTAAACTAAACCCATGGTCGGGTCTTCAAACCCTGCGTTTTTCTAAACCCGCTGGATCGAAAGGGCTTCTATCGTCTTAAATAGGGTTTAGGGTTTAGGGTTTAGGGGTTTAGGGTTTAGGGTTTAGGGCTAAAAAGCATCATACTTTTTTTGCATCTGGTTTGCAGCGACTTAACCAGGACAGAAACAAGGGGCACACCCGA